CATACAGACTTTATCTAAAAATTTGCTGATTTTCTATCAGAGTTAGTACTCGCTGCAGATAAAGTACTAATTGTTGGTGATATTAATATACATGCAGATAACGAAAAAGATGCATTGGGGTTGGCATTTAGAGACATTCTGAACTCTATTGGAGTTAGACAACACGTGTCAGGACCTACTCATTGTCGTAATCATACTCTAGATCTAATATTGTCACATGGAATCAATGTTGATGCCGTTGAAATTCTGCAACAGAGCGATGACATCTCAGATCATTATCTAGTCTTGTGTATACTTCATTTAGCCAAGGCTGCAAAGACTCCGTGTTACAAATATGTTAGACCTATAACTTCTTTATTAATAATATTCCTGATCAGTTTCATCTCCTCAGCATCGCAGATAGCTTAGAAGAAATCGATATTGCGACAGAAACGTATGACTTTCTCTTTTCCAGCACTTTAGACACAGTTGCTCCTCTGCACTTAAAGACGATTCAAGAAAATAGTCCAACCATGGTACAAAGAGCAGACTCGGGCCCTTAAGAGAGCAGCCAGAAAAATGGAGCGCAACTGGAAGAAAACAAAACTAGACTTTTTTCGCAAATAATAATAATAAACTTTATTTTATATAGCGCCTTTAAAAAGTAAGCGCTTTACAAGAATAGAAACATAATAAAACATACAATTAAACAATGCATTACTGACAGAAAAACGTAATAAAATACAAAATAAAAACATCATGAAATATAGGAATAATAATAATAATAAAGACAATTTTAAACAATTCTGTAAAAGCTACCCTAAACAAGTAAGTTTTTAGTGATGATTTAAAAACACTAAAAGATTCGGCTTGCCTAATCTCAATAGGCAGGGAATTCCAAATTTTTGGAGCATTCGACGAAAAGGCCCATATTAAGTGATTTTGATCTGATTAGCCTGGCTAAACCATGCGCATGTTACTGCGCAACGTGCTGTTGCATCACAATGGTTCAATAACATGACAATCAAGTTACAATATCATAATGACTACTCTAATTTCAGTGAAATGTTTATCTTTTGTATCATTTTGTTCCATAGGAAGCCTTACATTGCTTATTATTTGTAATATTAGGATTTAAGTGTGCTTTTTTGTGAGCATCTGAGCATTCTTAACCCACATAGCAACATTGTGACGGCCCAGATCCGGCCTACATGTGGAATGATGATCTGGCCCACATGCAGTGTGGAATGACGGCCATTGGGCAGCCCACTCCTGTTTGCCAGATCTGGGCCACAAGCAGGCAATGCCACATGTCAGCCAACAACAAAGAAATAAATCAGAACTGGACTTTATCTGAGCCACAAAATCTGTATATCAAATATGGGATCATCTCAGCCTTAATAATCTGTTAACAAGCAGAATCACTGAAGGAAAGAAGAGAACAGAAAAAGAGACGAGCAGAAACACAAGAACTACAACTAACTTCAGCCACAGCCTTATGGAATCAACTGTAGATAAAAGAAGACATTACATCTCTCAATATCTCAGCGAACTCCACAAACAGCATTACCACCTTCACTTATTACGAACCAGATTGAGGACGTCTGCAAAAGTTTGTATTGAGAATTAACAAGGGTTTAACTCTAATGTGTTTCATTAGAAGTGACCATAACAGTGGTTTAGTGTTTCAATTAGTTGGGCTCTTAACTCTTATTATAGCTTTAGTCTTTTTTGGCTGCTGTGACAGTGTGTTTGTTAAACATATTTGCAGCAGCGAAGAAAGCCTAAGTGAAATGAGATCAGGTGATGTTGGTTACCAGTTGATGGCTTTATAATCATCATGAAATAGCCTGATTCACTGATGTTTTTTTCAATCTAACAATTATGTTGTTGTTCCATTAATACATTCATACTACACACCCTGTGTTACTGCAGCATGAGATTCAGCATTATAACAATCAGTTAAAATCTTTTGACAAACAGGAGCACAAAAACTTAACCTATGCTGACACACACAATGGGGATTTTGTTGAGAATTTTATTTTTTGAATTGACAAGTTATAACAGAATGAAAATAACTGTAATTTGTTTTGATAATTTTACCATTATCATGTGGTGTAAAATACACCACAAACACAATACAATGATCAGAAAAGTATTCAATTATTGTGCTGTAATCCAAATCTTCAGGAGAATCTGTACCAATACTAATACCTATTCAGGCCCAGTGCAGGGCCAGTTACAGGTTATTAATTGACTGAGAATCGAGCCAGTTATAGCCCATTTGTGGTCCTAGTCTTAAATCCAGATCTGGGCCACTACAGGGATGCCATTCTTTGCGGTATGTGGGCCGAGGGAAAAGGGGTTTTGTGGAACAGAGCTGGGCCAGATCAAATTTCCTATGTGCGAAAGGGCATTTATATAGCCCATTGTCACAAGCCTGATTTGGGCCAGATAAACAATAGGCTGATCTGGGCGACACTCCTCCCACCAACATTCGGCCTTCATGTGTTTTGCCGTGATCATGAGGACACAATCGGGCCAAGACTGCTTGCTTTGAGGGATAGGAACAAACACTCTTGATTCCCTGGATGAGCAACACTGTCATTTTAACTCTTTCAGAAGCACTCCATTCTGTGGTTATGCTCAAATCCTCAAAGCATTACAGTTGATGCATTAACAGAGTTCAGTAAATTTGAAATAGCAAGGCTAAAGAGCCATGAACCAAATGTTGTTCCTGCTGTTCAGAAAGTAATTCTTGAGGGTTGTGTGAACATAAAATCTGCTGGTTATGAACAGTTTGCATTACCTGAGCAACCATCAATTTTATTTGCCTTGTGGAATCTTCATTGATAGCTGTTTAATTTCCTTACCAGAGACATTTCCTTTTAAAATCCCTGTGCAAGTGATGAGTTACCTTATACCTTACACACAGATGCCAGTACGACTGGTTTGGGGGCAGTGCTATATCAAAGTCAGAATGGACAGGATTGTGTCATCGCCCACGCTAGTAGAGGACTGTCACGGGGTGAATCCCGTTATCCAGCACATAAACAGAAAAATTCCTCGATTATTTGTATGGCAATGCATTTGTATTATTTGTATTCCACTGTTGTGACCGACAACGATCCCTTGAAGTACTGTATGTTTTAACAGCTGCAAAGTTCCCAAGTTGACACTTACATATAATTAGATGGAGTAAAGATTTAGGAGTATTTGGCGTGCTGTCCAGGAGGAGTGCTCCGAGCTCGGAATTTGGCCTGAATCTAGAGTACTCCCCCCGTGTATAGGAGTAGTTAGAACTAAAAGTGTGGAGAAGGGTTGGTGGAGGGATGCTGATAAACTGTCAACGAACAGAGGTAAGACTGCTGTATATATACCTCTTATCATTGATTAACTGAATGCTCTCCACTCATGTTAATTATGTTAATTTTCTAAACGTGCTCCTCCCGAAATTTGTTACTAAAACATCTTTTGTTTTCAATTGCCCCTTAGGCGTCAGAGCTCATTCCACGAGAAGTATGGCCTCATCATGGGCTTGGTCATGTGATTGACGATATCTGTGTGGCGGCCGGCTGTGCCTCGCTGTCCACATTTATGAGGATTTATAATCTGGAAGTTCCCGCTTTGCAAGCGAGGGTTCTTTCAATATAAAAGTGTAAGCACAAAAAGACTATAATGCCACCTAAGCCATAGGGCTCGATACATGTCTGGTCCAGGCTGAACTCGAACTACGGTTCTTATATATATATATATATATATATACATACACACATTAAGGACTTGGCCCTGTTTAGGCCCATTCCTTGATTCCCTATATAAAGCTCGTGAAGGGACTGGCTTCTATTAGGATTATAACTTTACTCTTCTATGGGCCTCAGGCATCTTGCCTTGGGTTATAGTATGGAGCGAAGTTTAAGCACACACAGCGCTTTGAAGGGGGTTCCCATAGCGTAAGCTAGCCTTACGCAATACGAAAGACCTCTCGAAAGGGAACGTCTCCGTTACTAACGTAACCTCGGTTCCCTGAGATGAGGGAACGAGTATTGCATAACCCGCCGTGCTACTGTGTTTGATCAGACGATCACATTGTAAAAGTTACAAATATTATGCTGTATAAGGACTGTCACAGGGTAAGCCTGCGACTGTGCATGGACTACACACACACATACACATACACATGCACGTAACGCGCATACACCGGCGTCATGTATTACAATCTGTTAGCCGACATATATTTATGTATGCATTGACCTGTGTAACATTCGATATCATTGTGTTGTAAACTTGTTGTATCATGGTCTGTATGTAGTTTTATCTGAGTTATGACCACTAGCAACCGTAATACGAGTGCATATGAGTATGCTAATAGAAGTGTCTTTTCTCATACGGAAATAAATCACCACCACGAGTATTTGATTTACATATTTTATTGAATAAAGTGGAAGAGATATAGATGATGCTTACCACGTTTTGATGAGTCGTTGGCCAAATCTGTTCGGTTGGACATCCGGTCTATTTATAGGTCTTGTGTCCGCACCAACTTGTGGCGCGTTCATGTGAGTGACGTCACCGGAGAGTTTATTCTTATAGTTTCTTGAGTTATGGGTTTTCTTTGAATAAATATATTTGTGGATATGATTTTATTACATGCATGTTTATTTGTATTTATTACTTTTGTTATTGTTTTTGTTTTCTTTATTATTATTATGTATTCCTGTAAAGTGTGTGAAATGTGTTACCTTCTAGGTGGTATGTTCCAGAGCAGGAGGAGCCAGGCCTATAAAATGACTCCAGAAAGTTAGGATAGTTCAGAGATAGGAGGTGAAGGAGAGGTCTAAGCAGACCATGGACAGTTTGTGAATTTGCAACTGGAGACTCTGGGAAAGTACTACTTATGTAGTGCATTTGCCCATACAGGTCAGGTTATGTTTTTGACATAGCTTGCTTTGACCTTATGTTTGTGCAGATATATATATATATATTCGGTTGCATCTAATTTTTGTTTCTTTTTGTTTTTTCTGTTTTCCTTCCTACCAATTCTGAGTGACTGTCACCATGCACCGCAATAAAAGCACTGTTAACCCTGACCAACTGTTTCCTCTGTCAATGGGAGCCTCCAACCGCTCAAGGCGTTCATAACATTTGGTGTCAGAAGTGAAGCTTCATAACAGTTGGTGTCTAACAGCGGCTAAAGTGACTGTAACTCAAAAATGCCACCGAAGACCAGGGGTCAGGTGACTACAGATGTGGAAACGGAAGGAGATCAAGGTGCAGTGGGTGGCATTCCAGAGGAAGGTGTCCAAACTGTTGAGTTTCCAACCACCGCAGGTGATGTGGCTGTGACAGCCCTGGCAGGGATGTTTCAAGCCTTTCTGCAGTACCAGAGGGAGAGGGATGAGAGGCAAGAGAAAGAGTTGGTACGACGGGAGCAGCAATACAAGGTCCTCAATCATCAGGTCACACAGATGCAGATGGACGTAGAGCATGCCAGGCATAAAGTTACCTGTTCAGATCAGGCAGGTTTACGAGTGCTGAATCATGTGTCTCCATTGCCAAAACTACAAGACAGTGATGATGTGGAACATTTTCTGACCACCTTTGAGAGACTGGCAGAAGTATACAGGTGGCCAAGAGAAGACTGGGCAATTCATCTGATTCCCTTGCTCACTGGAAAAGCGAGAAGTGCTTTTGTCGCTATGGCACCTGCCTTTACCTCTGACTATGATCGAGTCAAAGAGGCGATTCTCAAGAAATATGAGATTAATCCAGAAACATATAGACTGAGATTTCGTTCATTGAACACCGCCGCTGAGGAGTCCCCAACAGAGTTGTACATTCGCTTAAAAGACTTGTTCTCAAAGTGGGTTCAGTTGGACGTGAGCAGTAAAACCAAGATGATGGAAACCTTGGTACTGGAGCAGTATATGAGAGTGCTGTATCCGGAGGTGAGGATCTGGGTGAAGGAGAGAAATCCCAGTACTGCAGGAGAAGCAGCTGACCTGGTAGAGTCCTATATAGCAGCGCGGAAGGGATCTTCTGGGACCTTTCGGTTCTCTGGTGTCTTCCCGGAGGCGAGAGGTAAGTCTGTGGGGTCAGGGGGTAGTTCGTTCTCTCAAAGTCAAGCCCAAAGTTTTAAAGTCACTGACCCAAAGCCTTCACTGCCAGTAGTCACACGTCAGATATTGCCTAGAGGCGATATAGTATGTTATAATTGTGGCGGGTCGGGTGCCGGGTCGTGATGATGTACCAAGACTCAACTGATAAAAAAGTCAGAGAAGCAGGCGTCAATACGAGATCAGGACGCAAATTGGCGCCTGACACTTCAGTGGCACAAGCAGAAAGCGCATTGAAGCTGAAGGACATCATCGGGAACCCATGCGTAGGGAGGCAAGGACTCGGGTCCACACACTTCCAGCAGTGGGGTAAAGCAGACCCAAGGCAGAGGAGGGACATGATTCAAGCCGAGGTCCGACACCTGGAGGAAGAAAGGCGCAGGTCTAGGGCCGTCGAACTTGGAGCACAAGGTGCCTGGACAAAGTGGGACCTGCCGAAGCGGAAGCTCACGTGGCCTGAGATCTGGAGACTGGAGCCCTTTCCTGCTCCGTTCAGTTTACGACACCCTTCCATCACCAACAAACCTCCACAGGTGGGGAATGAGGGAGGACCCATTGTGTAGGCTATGCGGAGGGAGGGGAACAATGGCGCACATACTGGCAGGATGCAAAACAGCTCTTAGCCAAGGAAGATACAGGTGGCGGCATGACAAGGTTCTCAGTGAACTGGCTGACATCTTGGAGCGGGAGAGGCAGAGAAAGCGCCAGAACAGTACAAGGCCGGCAAGATTCATTCAGTTCATTAGAGAAGGGGAGAAACCACCAGCCCCCAAGAGGAGGAAAAAGAGCCTCTTGCAAGCAGCACAATCCTGGGAGATGAGGGTGGACCTGGGAAGGAAACTAGTCTTCCCCCAGGTTGTGCAAACATCGCTGAGGCCGGACATGGTCCTTTGGGTCTGAGGAGGCAAGGAAGATAATCCTAATTGAACTGACGGTGCCGTGGGAAGACGGGTGTGAGGTGGCCTATGAGCAGAAAGCCACCAAGTACCAGGACCTCGTTGAGCAGTGCAGGGCCAAAGGGTGGCAGACCTGGTTATTCCCGGTTGAGGTCGGGTGTAGGGGTTTCCCGGCGCAGTCTGTGTGGAAGACACTCACAGCTCTGGGTATAGCAGGAAGGGAGAGGAAGGCAGCTGTCCGTAGGTTGGGTGAGGCAGCAGAAAGAGCGTCTTGCTGGCTCTGGAATAGGAGGGAGGAGTTGAGCTGGGGGCCAGGAGGAGGTGGGCAGTGACTGGCCACCACTGCCGACCCGCCAACTGGAGGGTGTTGTGGTTCAGGGTCGAAACAACCCATGAAAGTTGGATGCCACCTGATGACATCTTCTCCTGGCTGAAAGCTACAGTCATGCACTACAGTCAGTGACTGAATTAGATAGCATCTGTAAAGATGTATTCAGTAGTAGTAGTGGAGAGGTAGGACACACTAGCCCACATTGCCCGGTGAGAAAACCCAAAGCTGTCAGTTTGTGTTATGTGCCCCAGTCTAGCCCTAAGGTAGTGGTGAAGCCGGATAAGGAGCCCACTATTTCAGTGTTATTGATTGGTAAGCTGCTGACGGCGTTGGTAGATACAGGATGTACACGTACGTTAGTACAGTCACAATATATAGCATGATAATCGAATGTAAAGAGTTTTATCTCTAAAAACTGTTTAGCGTATAACGCTAGTAATGGGGGCATTTAATAAGTAAAAAGAAATCGCTAGTTAATACCACTAACAAGGCTCAAAATAGCCCCACAGTAACGGGCAGTGGGGCTATTACTATTAATGAGGGTCCCTACATGCAAAACGAAGCATTGAGAACTTTGTAAGTGTACAGACCGTTTAATAAGAAGATATTTTATAAAGACTAGTCTGGTTTGACTAGTCAAGTCAAGTCAAGTCATCTTCATTTATATAGCGCTTTTAACAATGAATTGTTTCAAAGCAGCTTTACAGAGATAAACATATAATTTAAGGTAACAGATTGTTTTGGCGTTATAGCGGTTCTTGAATAATGTTACTTCCAGCTAAAGTTAACTTTGATTGATTCACCTCCGTCGAAATGATCAGACTTTAAACGCGAACCTGTGATTAACGCTGACGGCGTTCACATGCTCATTCAGAATTCTATAGTTATGTGCTTTTTAAAATATGTGCGCAGGTTTGTAATTCATACAACCCAGCCTAAACAAACTACTTTTCTTGCCTATAAATTTTGATACAGAATTTTGTTTTATTTTATCACTTCGGGGTACGCGAGCCGGAATTCACAACGCTTTATCTGTAGAGTGGGAAAGGGATCCTCCATAGGGAGAGGATAGTGGATACTTCAGCACTGCATTGTCATCGGGTCCAGGCGAATCTCCTTCGTCAGATCTGGACACGGCCTGTATCCGGCAGGCTGCGGGAAAACCTCGCGATAAACAAAGACACTAATATTAGCGGAGATGCCATTCTTCTTATGATGTAGCGAGTACATCAAGATTTAAGGGAAGTGTTCCCAGTTCCGGCTGACCTAATCTATGCAGCCTAACATTGAATTTATAGAAGTCTATAATGTATTATGTGTATGCTAGGTCAAAGAGATGTGTTTTTAGTCTAGCTTTGAACTGACAGAGTGTGTCTGCTTCCCGGACAATGTTAGGAAGACTGTTCCAAAGTTTTGGTGCTAAATAGGAAAAGGATTACCGCCAGCAGTCGATTTAGATATTCTAGGTATTATCAACTGTCCGGAATTTTGAGATCGCAATAGACGTGAAGGACTATAATGCGTTAAGAGGTCGCTCAAGTACTGCGGAGCTAAACCATTTAGTGCTTTGTAGGTAATCAACAATATTTTAAAATTTATACGATGTTTAATAGGGAGCCAGTGCAGTGTTGACAGAACCGGGCTAATATGGTCATATTTCCTGGTTCTGGTAAGAACTCGAGCTGCGGCGTTTTGAACTAGCTGTAGTTTGTTTATTAAGCGTGCAGGGCAACCACCCAGTAGAGCATTACAATAATCTAGCCTTGAGGTCATGAACGCATGGACTAATTGTTCCGCATTTCCCAATGAGAGCATATGGCGTAATTTAGATATATTTTTAAGATGGAAAAATGCAGTTTTACAGATACTAGACACGTGGCTTTCAAAAGAAAGGTTGGTATCAAATAGCACACCCAGGTTCCTAACCGACGACGAAGACTTGACAGAGCAGCCATTAAGTGTTAGACAGTATTCTGGGTTATTACGTGTGGAAGTTTTTTGTCCAATAATTAGAATCTCTGTCTTTTCAGAATTTAGTAGTAGGAAATTACTAGTCATCCAATTTTTTATATCAGCTATGCATTCCGTTAATTTTGTGAATTGGTAAGTTTCGTTGGGTTTTGAAGAAATATACAGCTGAGTATCATCGGCATAACAGTGAAAGCTAACTCCATGTTTCCTAATGATATCTCCGAATGGTAGCATGTACAGAGTGAACGGCAGCGGTCCTAGTACTGAGCCTTGTGGTACGCCATACTGAACTTGTGATCGATAAGACATCTCTTCATTTACTGCTACAAACTGATAACGGTCAGTTAAGTATGATTTAAACCATGCTAATGCAATTCCACTAATGCCAACATAGTTTTCTAATCTATTTAAAAGAATGTTGTGGTCAATGGTGTCAAATGCAGCACTAAGATCGAGTAACACTAATAGAGAGATACAACCACGATCGGATGATAAGAGCAAATCATTTGTGACTCTAATGAGAGCGGTCTCAGTGCTATGGTACGGTCTAAATCCGGACTGAAAATCCTCGCAGATATCATTTCTTTCTAGAAAGGAACATAGTTGTGAAGATACTGCTTTTTCTAATATCTTTGACAGAAAAGGCAGATTCGAGATCGGCCTGTAATTGACTAATTCTGTAGGATCAAGTTGTGGTTTTTTAACAAGCGGTTTTATCATAGCCAGCTTAAAGGTTTTTGGTACGTATCCTAGAGACAAAGATGAATGAATGATATTAAGAAGAGGATATATGACCTCTGGAAACATCTCTTTCAGTAGCTTAGTCGGTATAGGATCTAACATACAAGTTGTCGATTTAGATGAATTAACGAGTTTGCAGAATTCTTCCTCTCCTATAGCAACAAATAAATCAAATTTTTCCTCAGGGAGACTACAATGCACTTCCTGATGCGATACTGTGGTAGACGGTTGCATAGTTATAATTTTGTCCCTGATATTATCAATCTTATAAGTGAAGAAGTTCATAAAGTCATCACTGCCGTGTTGCTTTGACACTTCTGAGCTTGAAGCTTTCTTTTTCGTTAGTTTAGCCACTGTTTCAAATAAATACCTAGGATTATGTTTATTTTCTTCTAATAGGTTTGAAAAATAAGCAGATCTAGCAGCTTTTAAAGCCTCTCTGTAAGCAATTGAGCTCTCTTTCCACGAAATCCGAAATACCTCTAGTTTAGTTTTCTTCCAGTTGCGCTCCATTTTTCTGGCTGCTCTCTTTAGGGCCTGAGTGTGCTCGCTGTACCATGGCGTTGGACTATTTTCTTTAATCTTCTTTAAGCGCAACGGACCAACTGCGTCTAAAGTGCTGGAAAAGAGAGAGTTAAACGTTTCTGTTGCAATATCGAGTTCTTCTAAGCTATCTGGGATGCTGAGATGATGAAACTGATTAGGAAGATTATTGATAAAGCAATCTTTAGTGGCAGAAGTTATAGGTCTAACGTATTTATAACACGGAGTCGGCTTTGCAGCCTTGGCTAAATGTAATTTACATGAGACTAGATAATGATCTGAGATGTCATCGCTCTGCTGCAGAATTTCAACAGCATCAACATCTATTCCATGTGATAATATTAGATCTAGAGTATGATTACGACAATGAGTAGGTCCTGACACGTGTTGTCTAACTCCAATTGAGTTTACAATGTCTTTAAATGCCAATCCCAAAGCATCTTTTTCATTATCTACATGTATATTAAAATCACCAACAATTAGTACTTTATCTGCAGCCAATACTAAATCTGATAGAAAGTCCGGAAATTCTTTGATAAAATCTTTATGGTGCCCTGGTGGCCTGTACACAGTAGCCAGCAGAATTCTCAAATGTGATTTATCGTTTACACTATATATTTTTACATTAAGCACCAATACTTCAAAAGAAGTATATTTAAAGCTACATTTCTTAGTGGTTTTGAAAATATTACTATAAATTACAGCAACACCTTCCCCTTTGCCTTTCAGACGAGGTTCATTTTTATAACTGTAATCTAGTGGGGTTGACTCATTTAAAATAATGTAATCGTTTGGTTTTAGCCAGGTTTCTGTCAAACACAGCATATCAAGATTATAATCTGAAATCATATCATTAACTATAAGAGATTTTGAAGTAAGGGATCGAATATTCAGCAACCCAAGCTTTATCATTTGCTCATCTGTATTATATCTGTTTTTTATTTGTTGAACATCAATTACATTTTTAACCTGACGTTTTTTGGATTTCCAAATTCGGGGAACAGACACAGTCTCTATATGATGATATCTAGGTGAAAGAGGCTCTATGTGATGGGATTTATCTGACCTTGGTGACGTGAGGCCACTAGCAGACGGTCGGTTTAGCCAGTCTGTCTGCTTCCTGACCTGAGCCCCAGATTGTCATGTTTTAGCTCTAAGACTATGAGCCAAATTACTAGAGAGAAGAGCAGCACCAGCCCAGGAGGGATGGATACCATCTCTTTTCAACAGATCAGGCTTGCCCCAAAAACTTTTCCAATTGTCTATGAATTTTATATTATTCTGCGGACACCACTTCGACAGCCAACCATTCAGTGAGGCCAATCGGCTAACTATCTCATCACTCCTGCGTACAGGAAGGGGGCCAGAGCAAATTACAGTGCCTGACATCGTACTTGCGAGTTCACACACCTCTTTAATATTAATTTTGGTGATCTCCCACTGGCGGAGTCGAACATCATTAGTGCCGACATGAATAATGATCTTAGAGAATTTACGATTAGCATTAGCCAGCACTTTTAAATTTGCTTTGATGTCAGGCGCTCTGGCTCCCGGCATTTTCACGTTCCGTGTGATCGAATCACCAATTACCAGGGCACAATCAACAGAATTCTCAGTGGGTGTTTCACTGAGTGGGGCAAATCGATTTGTTATGGGAATCGGAACGGAAGAGTGGTTCTTTGATCCGCGACTAGAGCGGTGATCTCTCACAATAACCCATCTGCCCTGCTGCACGGGCTCTACTTCAGCCGGAACCGAATCATGTAAAGAGTTCACTATGCTAGGCGCATCCAAAACACTATCTAAAGATCTAGCATTCTTACCATCCTCAATTAAAGTTTGGATGCGTGTCTCTAGTTCTGAAATCTTCTCCGTCAGCCTGACTGTCTCCTTGCATTTATCACATATAAATCCTATATTGCCATCGGAGAAGGCTATACTAAACATATGACATGTGACACAGGTGACAATAACAGGACAAGAAGCAATTACTCACCGTGTTTGTTGACTGATTTCTTACTTACCTGGACTTTATGAACTCAAAAGGCGCGGGCGCGCGAGAGAAAATAAATATATAAATGAGCGCACGGGTGGCGCATTAGCAGGCTAACGTTAGCGAGTTACTAGC